TATTTGAAATGTAGAATGCAGGAACTTGGCCCTAGATTTTCTCGAGACTGTAGAATGTATCCTTACCAGATGTCTCAAATCCATTTGTCCTTGCATATGTAATTCCAAGAATACCATTTTTTTGCAGCTGATTCCGTACTTGGGAAGTGGCACCATTAATTCGAGGGACATTTCCCATTGGCTCTGGCATCCTCTGCCTTGCCTATTGGAGATATTGAACACCGGATGGAAACAGCTAGCAAGGATTCTAATTCTGCTCTAACTAGCACCAGAGACAGATGGAAAAGAGGAAAGTAGAATTGGAAGTAGAATTAGGCAATAATTTCACTATTTCAGTAATTTCACTCTTCTCCATTGGTGGAAGAAGGGTTTGTAAAGCATTCTTAGGGGTACCATTTGCAGAGATGTATTTCTATCGGTCATTGGTATTCTTATCCTCAGAACTCACTTAGGTTCACATGAAATTAAAAAGATGTACAGATGTGCAATTTAGTTTGAAACAAGTATATGTCATTTGAAGTAACTCAAATTGGAATAACAATTGTTTTTCTTTATCACACTTGAGCACTGTTTTTTTCCAGACAGCATTTCCATTTGATCTTTACTTGGCATTAGAGTGCTATTTAGCTATTCTGCCACATTTGCTACATTATTAAGCTGGGCATGTTCACTATCAACTTAACCTACTACCCAGGAGTCTTGAGAAAATAAAGTTGGAAGTTCTTCAAGGGGGATGACATGCAGAGGATGAGAAATAAAATGTTGTATTTGATCAATGTTGTAAAAAGCCTGGAGAGGTTTTTGGGAACAAATAACTTACAGAGGTTAACGTTTTTCTCGAGTGTGCTCACCTTCCTAAAGTAACTTCATGGATATATTTATTAACTCCCTGCTCACTCTTGGAGTTTCCCATGCCAACAACAGCAGATATTGAAGTCAGCTCTGATGCCAAGAAGTAGAGTACAATAATGTATTTCTCCTCCAAAACTCAATGGGATTCATAATAAAGCAATTATGATGATCAGATCAAATTGAGCAAGGATTATTACCATCAACCAATGAATGCACAATGAATGCACACATGAAAGGACAAAATAATTTATCTTTCCCAAGGTCTAAAAAATCTAGTATTTTGCAGCCAGTCTCTCAAGCTTTAGATGAGGTGAGTGGGTGAGTGAGAGAGAGAGAGATTGATTGGTCCTTAGAAGCCAACAGATAGCCCAGAATGTGGACGATGATAAAAACGCACTGCACATGAATCTCTGTCCCCACTTCATCACACCTAGTACCAAGCATCAACAGGATCTGAGCTGTGGTTTATTCCTGTGAGACACATTATATGAATGATATTTCTGTTGTCTGTTAGATTTTGTACATATTTAGATATTCCATCAAGAGCAAGAAAACTAGCTACTAGTTCCCCCCTTAAGACTCTTCCTTCTTGGTATAAAATTTAGCAGAGAAACCAATTCTGTGTCTAATTCCATCATTGCATTCCATTTTCAGAACAGTTTTAAATTTTTTACACCAGGGACAAGAAATCTATGGATTGTAGGATTAAACAAAAATTAAGACAACTATTTTTATCCTCACCTTCTTTTTGGTTTATAAAAAAAAGTCTCCGTAAAACCACCAATAGGAAACAATGAAGTTTAGATTCCCCTTCTCCAAATTTCACATATAAAGTTCAAGTGCAATTCAAAATCCAAGTATTATTTATACTACATACTTTTTCTATCAATAATTCTTCTTTGCAGGTAGTTTCTTCAACAAGATGAACAGGTGTCTTCTTTATGTGGAAGATAAACAAGGTTCCTTTTCTAAAACAAATGCTTCTCTATGATAAACTGAAAATAAAGTTGAGTAGCCAAAATATGGATCATCAATTGGATGTACTCTGGAATTCCAAGTTACTTTTCTTTGAAGTGAAAAAAAAATATCCCATCAAATATTGGAGATTATAAAACATTATAGTTATTCTTCAATATACAATTTAAGATAAAGATGGGCAAGAAATCTTAAAACCAGCAAAAATGTTTCTACAGTCAAACCCAATATAATATTTGACAGGAATGCAAAAGAACCAAAAACAAAAACAAACCCCCCTGAAAAACACTAGAAGCTACTTGTATGGTCGTAGAAATCTGGAAACTTTTGATCGCAATAGCTTTATAAATGATCTTGGAAACATCTCCTTTGATTCTTGTGCTGTGTACTTGAAATAGTTTTGAGGATGTGCCAATACATCAAAAAGGGCTTTAATCAATTTCTTGTCCTGTGGGAGAGAGAAGAAGCAAAAGCACATAATTTTGCAATGGCTCTCCTGCCCTCCCATTTGGCCATCCTATCCTGCTTCCCTCACTAGGTAAGATTATTATTATTATTATTATTTAAATTTATATACCGCCCTATCTCCCTTACGGGACTCAGGGCGGTGAACAGGCAATAATAAAAATCACAGTAAATATTACATAAAAGCCTGCTCTAAAATATAAAACCCCTAACAAAACCCAATCAAAACTACGCCAGGCCGGCCGCATGGAACAGATGAGTTTTCAGGGCTCAGCGAAAAAGGCGCAGGTCCGCAGTTGAACGTATATCATTCCAGAGGGCAGGAGCTGCCACAGAGAAGGCTCTCCCCCTGGGGGTCGCCAGCCGGCATTGGCTGGCCGACGGTACCCTAAGGAGGCCCTCTCTGTGGGAGCGGACTGGTCGAAGGGAGATATTTGGTAGGAGGCGGTCTTGCAAACTCCTTCCCCTTAGACTGGAGTTCCGGTTTTCAGTCTCCCAATTTTAAGAAGCACTCCGCAACATCTTAAATAGAAGCCACTAGGAAAGACTAAATATGGAAAGCTTACTTTTAAAATTTCTTGGTGGTTTTCTGAAGCATATAAACGTCCATCACGAACGATGTCTTCTATTAACTGCTGATAGTCCTCTGAAAAATGAATGGCAAAAGGACTGAGTCAATGATTTTTTTTTTCCTGACAACAATGCCCAGGCAGATTAACCACACATTCTGAAGTGATCTTGAATTTGAACATGGGCTCTTTGTTTATTTTTTTTATTTAAATCTATTTTATTTATTAAATTTATATGCCGTCTATCTCCCTCTCACTATGATAGCAGTGTTCCAATATCTCAGGGGCTGCCACAAAGAAGAGGGAGTCAAGCTATTCTCCAAAGCGCCTGAAGGCAGGACGAGAAGCAACGGATGGAAACTCATCAAGGAGAGAAGCAATCTAGAACTAAGGAGAAACTTCCTGACAGTTAGAACAATTAACCAGTGGAACAACCTGCCTCCAGAAGCGGTGAATGCTCCAACACTGGAAGTTTTTAAGAAGAAACTGGATAGCCATTTGTCCGAAATGGTATATGGTTTCCTGCCTGAGCAGGGGGTTGGACTAGATGACCTCCAAGGTCCCTTCCAACTTTATTATTATTATTACTATTACTATTACTATTACTATATGATGATGATGATGATGATGATGATGATGATGATGATGATGATGATGATGATGGAACTGTAGTTCCACGTCAGGAAAATCCTGTTGAAGGGTCCTTGATGTCCTATACATCTATCTTCTAGAATCTTCTCTTTGACCATCTTTAGGGAAAAACAAAGACTAGAGTTTTTTAGAACCCTACAAAGAGTGTCTACAGAGGTGTAGAGCTCTCTCTTTCTCTGAATTATTTTTAGATTTTTATCCCATTTTTTTATCCCAGCTAGGTTTGTTGCCTAAGGGAGGCCTAGAGTTTACGGTCTCCTGGTTTCTAGACCAGAGCCTAAAGTACCCTGATTCTATGAATGCTGACTGGTAGTTTTACACAGGTTTTGACCAGCTTGAGGTAAATTTCCTTCATTACTCACAAAAACAAACAAACAAACAAACAAAAAACAACAATCCCCCCATCACCACCACCCCAAAAGGGCAGATATAGATATCTCTGCTCTTATTTCAGACCATGAAAAACACTGGACCAATTGTATAACGGATGCTCAAAAGGAATTATAGCATATTTTCTCTTTATATTATTATGTTTTTTTCCGTGAGAATGTAAAGATGACAGGGAATGGTGGATGGAGGGATGGAGGATGGATAGACTATAGAAAGCCAGACACTGTACACAGATCCTGTACAAAATCAAGTTTATAGATTAAACCTGTTTGACAAAAAAAAAATCTTTTTCCATTTGTTGTTAATAATAGCTAGTGCTTTATTTATTGAAGTTTAACCCAGCTGAGATTGTCATCAATTGGGATTTGCAAATCAGCTTCAAATGTTAATTGCAAATTGATATAAAATTAATAGTTCGCTTAACCAAATTCTGCTGATGCTGTGTTGTGAGAAGGCAAAAATGAAGAGAGAATTCCAAAAACCTTTCGACTTTGGAGCATGTTGAAGAGGAAAGGAAAATTGTATATTTCTTCTCAGTGGCATAGAATGAATAAATATGACTGTATTTAATTCAAAAACATGAGTTAGTACAAAGGCATCTCCTTTCTAAGTAGAAATATGATAGGTCTTTTTGGAGTTTTAAGCATGGTTAAATATTTCATACAACAAATGATTTGTAAAAATGTGTGATTGTCCTTCATCAGTAAAGCAATAAAAAAGCAAGGGACCCAAATATGCTTTTAGCTATTAAAGAAAATACTTTCTGAGTACTTTCTGGGTATTTAAGTAAAATAATTTATACATAGTAATTATATATTCCTGTATGGAAAATCATTACCATTACTGATTCTAAAAATACTGAAGGAAAAGGAGAGACCAGGAAATTTTATATCCCTCTTTCTCTATTAACATAATTTATTTGGGGGTATTTTCACCTACTATATATTAGAACAATACTGGCATAAATATTACCATCGTATGTTACATAGGGGACTTGAAATCCTTTGTCACTGTTGCCTTCATTTGATTTGAACTGAATCCACAACTTCCGTGACCGGGAGGTGAATGCTATGGGTCTCTCATAGGTTTGGCAGGTTTCATAGGTAGTAATTGATGTAGGTGAAGCTTAAAAATAAAAAAAAAATAACATACAGATTTTTTAAAAATAAAATTTAATTTTCAAGATATGTGAAGTGCTACATTTAGCATTCTCTCTAGTCTGGGGGTCTTCAAACTTGGCTCTTTTATGACTTGTGGACTTCAACTCCCAGAATTCCTGGCTGAGGAATTCTTCAACTCCCACATGTGCCTGGCTGAGGAATTCTGGGAGTTGAAGTCCACAAGTCATGAAAGGGCCAAGTTTGAAGACCCCTGCTCTAGTCTAAGATTAGCAAGATCTACCTTTCTATGTAGTCTTTCAGAGAGAAGTTTTTCCTAACTATCCTGAGGCCATGTTTTTCTGGGGACTGAACACTGAACCTTCCTTATGTAAAGCTTGTATTCTATCACTGAGAAGACCATTATTCAAACTATATCCCACTATCTCGCAGCTGATCTAATTAAACTAACTTTCATTGGCAGAAGTTCAGGAATCATTTGTAAACTCTTGTTTGGATTACACTACTAGTCTATGCTCTGGGTAATATTAAATAATTTCATTTAATGTTGTTTGGAGGTAGAAATAAATTGGGCAGTAGAAAACAAAAAAAGATCCAGAAATGATTATATACAGAGTGCAATTCTGCAGAAAACATGGTCCTTATCCATCACCAGCCATTTAGACACTATTAAAAGTGTTACATAGAAAATGTGACAAAATCTTCGCCAAATATTGAATTTAGGGTCAGTTCCCCCTGCAGATAGAGTTTCTAAAATGATAAGAGCTAAGTCAACACTATGAAGTTTCACATAAATAAACATCACTTCTGAGTCAGATAAATTATTCAATGACAGTCTTCTGAAATGGTTTTCTGGCTTTACTAGGGACAAAGCTTACCACTTTTCCTCATTACTAAAACATCACCACACTCATCTTCAATTGGGAGAAAGATCTCTGGGACTACAATCAGGATCCGTCTCTTTGGGGGTGGGCTTATATTCCAAGTGCATTCAACATTGGCTGGGTAATCTCCTGGATAGTTGGGGGATTCAATGTATCCTGTATAGTCCCCAAGTTCTCCACCACACTGTTGATCTACAGAAAGAGAGAAAGGGATGGACTCAGACTGAGCTGACCTACTCATGTTTTACTTTTCTGTTTTTTACAATAGGGCTTCTCTTCATCTACTCATTGGTCTTGTTTTAAGAAGCTCTGCAACAGTAAATCATTTTGCATATTAAAAATTACTTCCTGAATATTATTTTGGATGATTTTCCTTTGGGGTCTTGATCTAACTATAAATCTGATTGTGCTATGTTCCTTAAGCCTTGATACACATTTATGACTATCTGTCTTTGGCTGTGCTTTGAAATGGGTGGGAGTGGAAATGTCCCTCTTTGCAACTCCTTAAGTTCCTAGGAAGACACGGATGCTTCTAAGAATGATGGTCAAGGGCTATATTTATGCTCTCCAAAGCACATTTTTGCTTCCAAATATGAACTGCAGCACAGCTCTAATCTCTTCTTGTATGTAAAGACAAGAGTCAAATGGTAAAAACTCTTTCATCAGTTCAAATGGGATCCAGATGTTGCCTTCTGAAAGGTTAGATATTTCTTATTTTTTGGCTATTGTTGTTGTTAACTGTGAAGTCGTGTCCGACCCATCGTGACCCCATGGACAACGTTCCTCCAGGTCTTCCTGTCCTCTACCGTCTTCTGGAGTCCATTTAAGTTCACGCCTACTGCTTCAGTGACTCCATCCAGCCACCCCATTCTCTGTCGTCCCCTTCTTCTATTGCCCTCAATCTTTCCCAGCATTAGGCCCTTCTCCAGTGAGTCCTTCCTTCTCATTAGGTGGCCAAAGTATTTGAGTTTCAACTTCAGGGTCTGGCCTTCTAAAGAGCAGTCAGGGTTGATCTCCTCTAGGACTGACCGGTTTGATCGCCTTGCAGCCCAGGGGACTCGCAGGAGTCTTCTCCAGCACCCTAGTTCAAAGGCCTCCATTCTTTGTTGCTCAGTCTTTCTTATGGTCCAACTTTCACAGCCATACATTGCAACTGGGAAAACCATGGCCTTGACTATACGCACTTTTGTTGGCAGGGTGATGTCTCTGCTTTTTAGTATGCTGTCTAGATTTGCCATAGCTTTCCTCCCCAGGAGCAAGCGTCTTTTAATTTCTTGACTGCAGTCCCCATCTATGGTGATCTTGGGAGCCAAGGAAAATAAAATCTGTCACTACCTCCATTTCTTCCCCATCTATTTGCCAGGAATTGAGAGGGCCGGATGCCATGATTTTGGTTTTCTTAATGTTGAGTTTCAAGCCAACTTTGGCTAAGCCAAACCCAAATTTGACAAGTTGAGTGTGAATGTTTCCTCTTTCTGAAAAAAGCTTCCTATTTTGAGAAGAAAATTAAAATCTACACTGAGTTAGTAAGACAATGCGTGCAGTGAACCCTTGCTCTGAATTAGCTTAATTTATATAGTAGCCATGTAACTTACAGATGAGCTATGACTGGCAGTAGATTTAAGATTAACTAATTTAGTAACCTGCTCACAGGGCATTCAAGGCAATATTGGAAGTATAGCCGATCATAGGGAAAACTTACTTTTGCAATGTGTAACATTAGTGGAACCATCAAAATCTGTGCTTGTATTTCCAGGGCAAGTGATGCAATAATTCTGGCCAAATTCAGGTTGGTAGGTTCCTACAGGACATCTGATACATCTGTGGGTTGTAGAGTTGTAGTAATGGCCAGGAGAACAATGAACTGTTTAGAAGAGAGGCCGGTTGTTTCATAATATATGCAAGATAAAAGGAACAGAGAAAAAAAAATGAAACACATCAGGCTGGCACTATGCAAAAAGTGTTATCCAAGATGCATTTGCTACCTTTTACAAATCAACCCCAAATCCTCACTGACGGCACAAATGACCAGCCTTAAATTATCATACTTTGGATGCATTATGTAAAAACCCAAGTTCTATGGAAAAATCTCTGATGATGGATGGAAAGAGAAGGAGGAGGATGACCAATAGCAAGGGGGATGGACTCCTCAGTGGTGAGATTTGGAAGAATAGGTTAGGGATACAGCATCATAGAGAAGATCTATTTGTATGGTTGCTACGAGTTGAAAAAGATGAAACATAATCAACCCATCATTTTATGGTATCCTAATATTTTATTTTGAGCTGCCCTAATAATATGGAAGGATAGAACATAAACCTACCTTTAGTTTCACAGTCTTGAAATGAAACTGCGCCCTCATATTTTGTCCCCAGTCCTCCACCACAGGGGAAACAGAGGGTCCTTCCTGGTTCAGACTGATAAGTGCCAAGGGGACACAGTCTGCAAGGTTTAAAACCATCAAAAGAAAACTGCCCAGGAGAACACTGCCCTAAAAATGGAATAAATCTATGGTTTACACATAAATATAGCTTACCACTTATTTCAGTGCCTGTGGCATTTGCTCTTTGGGATTCCTATGGTTGTTGTTGTTTTTTTGCCCTTTTCTGCTAAAAAGTTGCAATCATGTGACTGTGGGACACTACAACTGGTTGTAAATGTTACCAAGTTACAACATTACCACATGTTACCAGTTACCAAGCTCCCGCAATGTGATCTCATGACGTGGAGTGCATGCACACAGCAGTCGTAACTTTGAGGATGGGTCATAAGTAGCTATGAAATCTGTTACAACTTCAGATGGTTGAGGACTACCGTATAAAATATCAGATATATTCTAGGGCACACACATTCAGAATAACCTGATTGGTGCTTCACATGAATTGATTATGCCGGATCTAAGCGTACCCCAGAAAACAATTTAGCAGGCACCACAGACAAGTCAATACAACACAATGGTTTATGGCTTAGGTCAGCGGTTCTCAACCTATGGGTCGCGACCCCATTTGGGGTCGATCGACCATTTCACGGGGGTCGCCAAGCAAGGCTGTCCGCCATTTTTCCCCCTTTTCCGGTGGGTGCCTTACCTCCCTTGAGCTGGGCCAGCTGGTGGTCGGCCTGCTCCATCTCTGCCGCTTGCCAGCTACGCCTCAGCCGGTGCAGGGGGCGGAACCACGCATGCGTGGTGCTCCCGGGCAGGGAAAGTCCTCGACTTACGACCGGTTGGGTAGTCCTTGACTTACGACCGGTTTAGTCCTCGACTTATGACCAGTTTAGTCCTTGACTTACGACCGGTTTAGTCCTCGACTTACGACCGGTTGGGGGTCGCGGCATTAAAAAGGTTGAGAACCACTGGCTTAGGTCCCAACACCAGATTTCTCCTTTTTCCTATTTTTAATTAACTTTTCACTCCAGTTTCTGAATGAAATTTGTGAAACGAAATGCTACTTGCCTCCACATTCTAACACACTTCGTGCACCTGCAATGCCTTGCCCATCATTTCCTGGACAAGGTTCACAGGATAGTTGACCTTCTGTGTCTTGATATGTTCCTGGTGTGCAAGGAATGCATTGATTATGTTCTCCACTATAATAGGTGCCAACGCTGCAGGTAACTGGAAAAATAAAAATCAACATTATGTTTGTTACTTTTTATTTTCACAGTGTCTTCCTAGTAATATCAATCATTGATAATTATCCCTTTAAACTGATCACATCCTTGTTCAGCTTTACAGTAGATAAGACCTTGCAATCTCTGAGTAACATCTTAAATCGCCACGTAGCATCGTTGCTCATAGTAAAACACATTTACATCTATAATAAAACAACCTCTGAAATGTATACATATTGTAGAACCTTTTAGAGACCGAGTGCCCAAACTGCAACCCAAAACCCACTTATTTATCACAACGTGCCAGGGCTGCGTTAGCATTGTGGTGCCCTCAGGGGTGGCGTGGGGACGTGTCCCACTGGGTGGGCGTGGCTACAGTGGTCACGGCAGACTGGGCGAGCATGGCCGGGGCCAGGGTGGCGGGAGCCAGTCCCTCACCATCTCCGGGGCATCCCTGGGGGCCAACACCGCTTGCTCGCTCACTTCCTGCCCTGTCGCTTCCAAATGTTACGTGCTTGCTACTCTGGCGAACTCTGGTGGGGCAATGGCACACGTGCCCACAGAGAGGGCTCTGAGTGCCGCCTCTGGCATGCGTGCCATAGGTTCGCCACCACTGTTGTAGACAATACAGTCAAATATCAAATATCTAGTTTGTTCAATTTAGAAAACATATTAATCAGAACTGCAATAGAAACATCTGGAAAAATCCTCTCTTAAGGAAACATTTTTTCTGGGCATGTGAGGTGAAGCATTTTATTCAAATCTTACCACATTTGCCATCTTGCTGCACTTGCCCAGTACTGCAGGAATGTCCTTCGCTGACAATTTTCGCTGCCTTCTGAGCTACTTCATACTCTGTCCCAGAAAACTGAATGTAAAATTGCTGCTTGTTAATAGATTTTCTCAAGGTTTTGATAGCTATTTGTAGTTTCTGTTCCATCCTTTTCCTCAAACAGTCAATATTGCAAGTGTCTTAAGAGGGAGACACAGAAATATTAGAAACAATTTAGAGCTGAATTAGAACACAGTTTTCACCGTCGCCTCACAACCTCGCTGGGTCCTCTAATGTGCCTGGAGTAAAATATATTTCTGAAGTCACTGACACCTCCAAGAAAGCGAAGGCATTCATATCAATGATTGAATTAATCTATCTCAATTAATAAGGATTATGTCTTAGTCAATGTTGCCTGCTACACCTATTATATCTGAATCAGTATGTTGAAATTCCATAGCCTTAGAAACTTTGCTTGTGATTCACTTATGTATTAACATGAAGAAAACTGAAATTATACAATCTTCAGAAATCTCTTTAGGAATTCAGTAGATTCAACTCTCACATGCTGTTTCTAGACCTGTATTTTGGTTCCAATAGATGCCCATCCTGCAACCTGGCTGCCTTTGTTCTTGTTCAGCACTCAATTCTTTAACTTCAACCTCTTGCTTCTGTATAAAATCACAATCTTATAAAATTTAGGCTTTGGCAAATGTCTGCTTTTATTTTTCTTTGGGGCTATTTGATATACACTGAAGAATCTTATGACTTATCCGTTATTTTTAGACACAATTCTTTTAGGCAGTACACACACACAAATACATACATATACACATGTATAATACAGTCCAGTATTATCAAAACTGAGACAGCTAATAATTTCTACAGACAGATTCCCAATAGCAGCAACTTCCAGGAATACGAGTCAAGTTTAACCTTGACCTCACAGTGTAGTTTTGATTTTCCCACCAAAAAATGAATAGTGAGAATTCAGAAAAGTTACATTTGGTGGATGATAAGAATTACTATAAAAGAAGCTCATTATAAGAACTTCTGGGGAAGGAGCTATACATTTGTGGAATATTCATTATCATTGTTGTATGTGTACCTCTCATATTAATAAATATATTATGCTGATTAATCAATATCTAATGATATGGATGCCAAAGAATTTTTGGACTGCGCACTGCAACAGAAATAAGTCTTTATAAATGCATGAAGGTGGCATTAGTTTGAATCATCAATACTGGCTCAAAGAAATAACATAAAACATTTCACTAACCTGAGACTTCTTCAGACTTCATCTCCATTTCAAACTCAGCCGTGATATGGGATACTTCTTTTGATGGAGATTTTCGCCCACGGCGTTTTTTCTTAGAGGAATCACATTTTAGGTTTACAAAAGTTATGTGGCAATTGTCTGCACAGGGGAACTGACCTCCTTTGCACAACAAGAAACAACATGGGAAAAAGTTAAGCCATATAGTAGCACTATTTCAGTGGTATCAGCTGCATTAGCTTTAGTATGGTTGGTATATTAAATTTATTTTCATACAGTATTAATATTTTATGAATCAGGGTTAGAGGAACCCTCCAAAGCCAATTATTGAAATTTATCAATACCCTTAAGAAAACCATACCACTGCTTTTATTATTAAAATAAAATATCTAGTTATGCTCATGTCTTGGCTTTAAAAAAAGAGAGCTAGGTTGTAAATCTATGACGACAAGTAGAGTCAAAAGAATGTTCTAGTCCTTGCAAAGGATTTCTCCAAATGATGACCATCCTGAAGGGGCAGCAGATACCAACATGTAGCAGAACAGGGATCCGTGGATGGGTGAAAACTTGTTTATTCAGATTCCAAACTCTGTGGCTATCCAAATGTTGCTGAAGTACAATCCTAACCAACCTAGTTGTAATCTAGCAACATAAGACAGGGGCTCAAACCCCTCACCCCTTCTCAGTCCTCAACTTACAACAGCTCATTTAGTGACCATTCGAAGTTACAATGGCACTGAAAAAAGTGACTTATGACCGTTTTTCACACTTGTGACTGTTGTACCAGCCCCATGGTCATGTGATTTACAATTTATGATGGTTGCAGTGTCCCGGGGTCATGTGATCACATTTTGTGACCTTCTGACAAGTAAACTCAATGGGGAAGCCAGATTCACTTAACAACCATGTTACTAACTTAACAACTGGTCCTAAAGTAGAGCAAAATCACTTAACAAATTGCTCGCTTAGCAAATAAATTTTGGGCTCAATTATGGATGTAAGTCAAAGACTACCTACATCTGTGAAGTCCATGATAGCCACCTGCCCATCTCTCTTCCTGCCTCCCTCCCATCCCTGCCCCAGCAATTGATAATGAACGCAGAGAGTGACAATCAGAAATAAGCAAGTTTCCAGTTACAAGATACTGCAGACAGCAGATTTTATACTACAATATCCTTAATGATTCCTTTAGTCATATCAAGAGAAGTTAAACCACGGTTTAATTAGACTGAGCTACCCATTTATTTAACACCGGGAAAAAAAGTGCTTTTCAAAATTATAGCCCTCCATTTTTTTTTCTAGTATAGCTTCTCCTTTTTAGGAATCTGATATATGAACAATCCACTTAGTGCTTAATTTGCTTCTCCTTCATTCACTTCCCACTGCCTCAATTTCATCTCTCTTCTTCTTTTGCAGATTGTGAGCTGTTTTCCCCTTCAGAATTGAAACACAGGCCTTTTTAGGATTAATCTCAGTTGCTTAACTGGGCCCTTTGGATTATGTACAGATAGTCCTTGACTTACATCTACAACTGGGACCAGACTTTTTGCTGTTAAGCAAGGTGGAGAGAAGGATGGCTTCTGACAAGCATAGTCAATGGGGGAAAGCCAGATTCGCTTAAAAACTGTGTAATTTACTTAACTGCAGTGGTTCGCTTAATAACCATGGCAAAAAAGGTCATAAAATTGGGCAATCAAATGACCCTGGGATACTGCAACCATTCTAAATATACTGATTTTCAAGTGCCTGAATTCTGATGACGTGATTGTGGGGATGCTACACGGGTCATAGGTGTGAGGACCACTCATAAGTCACTTTGTTCAGTGCTGTTGTAAGTTGGAATGGTCACTAAACAAATGGTTGTAAGTTGAGGACTACCTGTAGTTTATTCCTGTTACTGTACCACTAGCATTGCAATAAAAAGAAAACCATTAGGGCAGTTCCCACAACTTGTAAAACAGAATTAACCAAAACCCAAAAAGTTAATTTAAACAGAACCGAGAAAAAAATGTAGTGTTTCACTTGGGTTTTTTTTTTCCTGAATGATTAAGAAGAAGCCCTTAGTCTCTTGTACCTAGAAGAACTTGCTGCTTTCCAGCCTCTTTAATCTTCTCTTTGTTGCGAGGCCTTAAATGACACTTGGCATCTTTAATTTTAAAACGAGCCTTCTGTTTGATGGGTGGCATTAAGATGTCTAGAGAAAGAAAAGAAATGATAATCTATGCTATGTTTTTAAGAAAGTAAAAGACAGCCCTGGAGAGATTTTTTTGAATAAATAAGAGAAAGGTTAAACAATAATTTCATATCACTGTTTTTAATGCTGGCCTTGTGAGTAGCATACAATTTGATGAAATAACCAAACATCACACCTTTCATATTACTGTTTTTTTTTACTGAGCCAGGTTAATGAAACAAAAACTATGATGGATTGGTAACAGGAATTCTGGAAGTTTGCAAATCCCACAGTTTGACCAGGCACAAGATGATGAAATTGTTGAGGAAGCACCCAAGTGCTTTCTGGGTAGAGCACATGCTGGGATGCACTTGGGGGCAACCCACATTTTTTTTTCTAGAATGTCACTGTAGGCAGTCACATCATCTTGGGAAAAGGTGCAGCTGCTGTAAGGAGTTCATACAAGGACCAGCCCTTGCACTCTAGAGCAGGGGTATCAAACTGCCAGCCTGCAGGCTGGTTGCATCATATGGAGCCATGCCCACCCCAGCTTTAGAAATGCAAAAAAAATTGCAATACATCGTGACACGTCCTGTGACACAACGAATTTGACACCCATTCTCTATAGTATTTCTCTTCCTTTTCAGGTTTGAAGTACTGCACAGGTGTATTATTTTGTATTTCCTTATAGAAGCTTCCTTTTAAACTCATATTGTATACCCAAAAGATATAATAGGGTCGCTCACCAAGATTATTAACATGCAAGATGTTATACTAATTATGTCAACAAATTTCAAACAGTGTTCTTACCCATACAACCTGGTAGTGTACTGTTGCGTTTTTGTTGTGTCTTGCCCTGTTGTACTGGCACTCCACAGCTTACTGAATAACTATTTTCTGAATCTGAACAAAATGAAAAGAGAAATATGTATCTCAGTATCATCCTTTCCTTCCGCTGATCTATAGAAATATTGTTGATATGTATTCATGTTAATTAAAGTAGTTAGGTACAAAGCTGGTTTGACATCCAGATGTACCTAATCAGTTTTGTCACATGTTTAGTTGATCAAGATAATCACAAAGACCGGAGTTATTTATATCTGTAAATAACTTTTCCCTAGATAGCTGCCAGCTTTGGGATAGGATGAAGCCAGAGAAAAACTTAGATCAATAGTTGCATAAGGATTCTTTCTACAGGTTCTGGGGCAGCACAAACATTTGCTGTACACACACACACACATACACACAAACACACACACACTCCCTGCCAATGGTGCTGTTCTTCTTCACAGGCTATAAAGCAAATTAAAGGTGGGGATTTTATTCCCTTCCCCTCCCACCAAATATTCATCAGACAGTGAAGAAACTTCAACCCCAGGATTGGGCTAAGGCTGGGATGAGGCAAGTGCTTGACACAAGTGCATTCAAACAGAGCCCTAGAATAGGTTGTTACTGGTGCTGGGTGGGATGATTTTACTATGATTTCCAGAACAGGGAAAAATAAGTTCATTGTTCACATGGTTAATCAGCTACTGCCACATGACAATGCAAACCAGAGAAGTTTGGGGAGATACAAAGAATTGTCCCTCACTGCCTGAATAGGTCAGTCAGAGAGGAGAAAAGTCTCGTTTGAAAAAGTTGGAATATTTGCTACCCAAAGTTTGGAGGTAAGGATATGCTTTTAAATGGCCCAAAGGTCCCGGTCTAATTCAACCCAGTAAGGCTATTTGACAGGGACCGTGATCGAATGGTCAGTGAAAAGCCTCAAAGGGCAACCTCAATGCTCAACTTTTTTTTGCACAATGACCTAATTATTAGTAATAGCTTTTAAAAAAGCTTTACTGAATATTCTTCCCATTTGTCCTGTCCCCAGTTGTGTTTACAAACTATTTGTTTGAACAGTACTAACTGAGATGTATTTTAACTCACTTTTAATGCCTCTCTGTGCTCAAAAGTTAAGAATACAGGTGGTGTGTATGTTGCCCGTAAAAATGAGTGGAGCTTCAGTTGCATCGTTGTGACACCATCTTGACCTTTTTCAATATACCTTGCAGACATCTCTGTGTAACTTATTTTATGGACCAGGGGAAAAATACTTTTAGATACCAACCTGGAACGAAAAGGGTGTTGGATGGACAGAATAAGAAACAGTTCTCAATTCCTCCTGATTTGCTACAGAGCAGTTGAGCCTTGGGAACTGGATTGGCACCGGGCAAACATTTCACCATCTCTGAGGAAGAAAAAAGCAGGAAGGAAGTGACTAATTCAGATGATTCATCCTTTCCATAAGACCATCCACCCCTTTATTCCTAGATCTGCGTATAGATATTTCTGCCATGCTGACTGAAACTTGGTTCCTTGATCCATAAGAATCTCATTCGGTATGTCTACTCTACTGAAGATTTTGACCAGTTTCTCCATTATTCTTTTGGCAGTCACATTCCTTAATGGAACTCTACATGGGGAGAGCTCTCTACATGGGGCTTCCCTTGAGGAGCACCCGGAGGCTCCAGCTAGTTCAAAATGCGGCCGCGCGGGCGGTATTGGGAGGGACTCGTCGCTCCCATATT